AAAAAAAAAAAAAAAAAAAAAAAAAAAGACGTTAAGAAGCAGTAATCACTAATTTCTTCCTCATCAGATTTATTTAAAGTGTACAATTAATCTATATATTTGAACTATGAAATTTGCTGTTTTGTATAGTATGCCCCTTTTGAAATTCAAGCAAAGGATCAAACTGGATGTTAGTGACATATCAAATGTAGGAATTATGGGGCATTTAAAAGTTGTAAGATACATTTATTGGAGTCCTCATTTTCAAAAACAGCTCTTTAATTAAATTTCAAGAGTCTAAAACTACAGCCCAGGGACTTGCCACATACTTACAAAAATGACAAAATGTCTCATATATGAAATGTTCCATTTTGATTATACTGTGACCTTTGTGGGGCTTTGGAATGGCTCATTGATATATGTAAATTAAAATGGACATTTATATAAAGTGTACCTACTGAAAATAAGGATTTTTTTTATCATGGATTAAGGAAACTGACATTGTTAGCATGTTGTAAATGCTATTGTTTCATGGTTTAAATGATCTCACTTACTCCTGACAGCTTTAGGAGGAACATGTGAATATGTTCCTTTTATGAGTGCAGAAACTGGGTCTCGAAGGTCGCACATGGTAAATGGCAGTGCTTGTATTCAAAGCCTGTGTTCTTCCACTAACCCCAGGCTTTTACCATAGTATATTCATTAGATGTACCACAGAGCACCAACAAAAAAATAAAAATAAAATCAATAATGCAGAAACTGGTACACACTATTATACTTACCTATGCATGTACAAACACGTACACACAACCCTCTCCTTGTCTATATAATCTGAAGATCAAAGCATTAAGTATAAAGTGTTCTTTGTGAGTATGATACTGTTGGTTTAAGAAAAATCCTAAAATAAAAGCTCCGTTTTCCAGCGTGTATTATTCTAACAGGCTTCAAAAGGATCTCAATTCTTCTCAATAATTCAGGGCTCCACCGCATGTATTCTCCTTTGACTATCCTCTGGGCAAAGGGGAGCACTTTAGTTTAATTTTTACCAAGTCAGCTTTGAAGGATGATTTCGGATTTCAAACAGTCTCCGCTGGGTATATTTGTAAGCACTAGGTAATGTGCTCTGGGCAGTACATAGAGCTCATTTTATGCATTACCCCGACCCCAGTCTTCTCCTTTTGCCAAAATTAGAAATCATTTCCCACAAAGTTAGCCCAAATAAGACAAGCAAGCTTTTTAGTAGTGATGAAAGAGGTAATTTTGTTTTGCGTAATAATTTGTCTTACACCAAATACTGCCCTTTCCAATGATTGCATTACACTACCTAATCTCTTTGATCAAGCATATGTGTATATATAGGTCTGTGGCTGTGTTTCTCTGAGAACCCAAGGAGAAACTTAATTGCAAACAGGCACACACAGCTGTTTACTTCTATTCACTTCCACAAACTCCCTTTCTAGTCTTTTTGCACTGCACTGACTTGAGCTTTGCAGTGAGCTGGCTTCTCAGCTTATATCCAGATCTCAACTCCAGGCCTCAAGCACGTTTAACTGTGAAGAGTTGTTAGGTTTATTAGCTGTAAATCTGTAGACCAGAATGAACCACAGCAAGCCGTGCAGTGTTCCATGCATCTGCTTAAGAATAACAAGCAGGTGGCACAACAAGAGATGTTAGGTGACAGAGCAATGCCACAGACATGAGGAAGAAATTGCCTGGCTGTCTCCCTGGAGCCAGTCATCTTTATAGTGCATTGCTGTTCCGCTCCTGCCTATCTACGTGCTTGTCAGAGCAGGCAAGTGATGCCTTAGAGGAGCTACATTTGACATTTGAGGAGTTTGGATCTTTTCCCAACTGATGCACATCCTTCACTTCATTGTCCAATGATTGAGAGGCAGAACTTTTGATTGGAATGTCTCACAGCACAAATAGTTACTTTAAAGAGCTGATTATACCTAAAGCTGTATATTTTCTTTTTACTTCCTTGCTTCCTCTTTTACATCCTTCTTTACTTCTCTATGCAATTTTCAAGAATACTTATCATTAAAAGCATAAATTACAAAGTAAATCATTGCACTATTATTATCAGTGAACCAATTAAACTAACGAAGAAAATTATATTCTTAGTGCTGCTTCATTGGGGAAGATAGGAAAAAATTAAACAGGAAAAAGCTATGTCTGTGGCAAAAATTGATTTTAAAAATAGAGGATGCTCAATCTTTCATATTGAGTAGTGTAAACTAACCTTAAAGTGTACCTATTTGTTTAATTAAGAGTCAGAATAGAAAGACAGTGGGGTCCAGTTGAAGTGATGAGTGCACCTCATTTACATCTCACCATGCAGAAAAGGCCAGTGTGACACAGCCCTTTGTTTCTACCTTAAGCAATTAATTCAGTGAAAATTTGATTCAAATTAGCCATCTGATACCACATAGACAAAAATAAACAAGTAACTAATTGTATTTCACTGCTTTCATTTATTATGATTTTTTTACACAAGACTTTCCCTTTTTAAAAACTATCAGGTTATGATTTGCTGAAGATCTTCAGTTCTACAGAATGTTAGAGCTTTAGATGGTAAAATAGTCGCCGGCAAGACAGTGTTGTACTTGGCAGCTCTCTCCCACCAGATGTTGAGGGAGAAGGCTGGCAGGGCTCCACCTCCAGTCCACCCTTGCCCTTTCATTTACCATGCCACTTCTTCCATATTGGCTGCATTTGTGGTTTTAGTCCATGTTTGAGAAGATATTTTATTCTTGTCACAGGGGAGAAGGAAATAAAATGTGAAAAGACTCATTTTTAGGGTATTTTGAGCCAAGAATTTAGATTGAGTTATATTTTCTCTTTTTCTCTCTCTCTTTCTCTGCCTTCTATTTCTCTTTCTCTCTTCTCCTCTGCTTCCCTTCCCCTCCCCTCCCCCTTCTGCCCTATCCTCTCCTTCCCTTCCTCCCTTTCTTCCTTCCTCCCTCCCTTCCTTTCTCCCTGACTCTCTTCCTTCCTCCCTCCTTCCTCCTTCCTTCCTCCTTCCTTCCTCCTTCCTTCCTCCTTCCTTCCTCTCCCTGCCTCCCTCCCTCCTTTCTTTCCCTCTTTTTCATTTACAGAAAGGGAACTAGTATTTCCTTAACTCCTACCATATACTAGGTGCTTTATATCCGTTAAATAATAATAGACATTAAATGTTTGTTGCATCATTTAAAAGGTATAAATATATAGGATAGAAATATTTAGCATCATGCATTTATATATCCCACCTTGAGGTTTCAGTTATGAAAGAACTGTGGTAATTAAGACTGGAGGGATAAAGCTGCATGCTAATGTCAAAAAAGGTCTTTAACAGATAGCAAAAAAAAAAAAAGAAAATGTGGGTCCTAGAATGTGATTCCTCTGGTGGTATTTCAGTGTGGTTAACAAGTTGCAGTTTAGATTTCAATTGGAGAGGTAGAGCTTTGCTTTAAAACACATTTTTACAGGCAAAACTGATCTAAAGAAATCAGAATTATAATGATATTTTTAAAAGAATATTGACTAGGAGGAGGCTGAAAGGAGCCTTCTGAGGCTGAAATATAACTGTATCTGGGTAGTGGTTTCATGGGATATGTCTAAAAATTAATTAAACTGTGATTTCAGTTACGGACATTTCACTGGATATGTTATACTTTTCTAAAAGAAAAAAAAAAAAACTCTAATAAAAGTAGCCTAACTGCCTTCAAAACATGTATTCTCTCCCCCAGCATGTAAATAAAATATATAAAATATATGCAAAATAGCAATTTCAACATTCAAATGTATCTTAAAGCAGTTTTCATATCCATTCGTATTTGAAACTAGACATCCTAAATTAACAACCAATTTGGAAAAATACATATATTACCTTCAGTTTAGGGTACAGCCTCATACATTTTAAATTGGGAACAATCCTCTCATTGACATTAATAGTAGTTTATGACTGTCTTCTCTGAAATGTGAGATAAGCTTGAGTAATACAAATTCTTTTTATTGAAATACGTAAGTACAGCTATAAAACCTGATCTGTAGCAGAGACTCATTAAGCTACCGGACTGCTCGCTAAGGTAACAGGAAACTTTACACACATCAACAGATCATGATGCTTCAAGGATCACTTGTGCATGCCATATGGTCAATACAGACATATTAATATTATTAGTCACTTGAACTTTAGTTAATAACTATAATCAGAAAGTGGTAATTAGAAAGTTAATTAAAGTAACATATATAATTTAATGTCAACCTATTATTTTGTTTACTTCAAACATAATTACATAGAGATCTTGCTTGAACAACAAAATAATAGACATTTTTTTCTGATAATTAGTATTTTCTCCAAAACTTGGTCTGTATAGTCAAATATAATTAGTTCTCACTCATGTCATGAATTATCATATAAGCTAAAAGAGATGATTACTCTTTACAAGTAGTACTACAAATAGCAGCTTTACCCTGTAGATATTATCCAGGCTGTCTACTGTATTGGAAAGCCAATTATTAATGTATAAATCTCATTGATTTTGGTTTCAGATTTGAGTAACTGGAATTAGACTTATCTCAATATTTGTGGTTTCTGTATCTTCTTAGCTTTACTTTTGGAATATAGGTTTTATGAGGATATAAAGCACACTTGTTTTTCAAAGCTTAGTTTTCTGTTCTCTATGGGTTCTTAACAAATGTCAGTTGATGTTAACGAATTACTGGCGTTAATACTTGAGTATTCCAGTTGTCTTACTGCTCATTCCAGGAAGACTACGTCAAATGTAGATGTATTCCCAGCTTGGTGAATGCATAATTGACCGTCAATTTTATAGACTGCAAGGCCCAAGTAACCCAGCTGAGAGTTTCAAGGTATATGAAATGTGCTTTTCCTATACCTTATGAAATTAATAAGTAAAATAAAGTCACTTCCCCTTATAAAGCTAATTATTTTTAAAAATCAGGTAACAGAAATGGAAGAATTGGAAAGATAAAGTACAACAAAAAGGGGGAGCAAAGCACTGACAAGCTCAGCCTAACCTGAACTGTGTCTCTGTTTTCTATTACTTTTCTCCATCTCTAGTTCACTGCTTCTTCTCTCTCCCAACATATTATCTTTTCTGTCAGCGTCTTTGGTATATAAATCTTAAGTTTCTGATTTATACATAAATTTAATTGAAAGTCAGGGAATCTCACTACACATACCAGTATTTCTTATCATGCTTTTACACTAGCATATTTTTATTTCTAGCTTATTTTAGCTTCTTCCTCTTTCATTTTTCTTTTTTGACTCCCACTTCCTCAGGTCACATAATTCTCCTTTTATTGACCATATGTAGTCTGTTGTTTTCTTGTGATATGTGATCCTCAGTGTGCGTATGTATGTTTTAGGTGTAGATGGGCCTTGGCTTTTTACCAAAGTAATGTTTTCTGTTTGATTGTGTCTTTTCTACTAAGGTCCAGTTTTTCGGGGGACTTTTGGTCATGGTAACACATTTTATTCATGTCTTTATGATATGTGAACAATGAAATGCATAAGTATTAAGGAAAGAATATTTATTTTTATATGATTTTTATTTTTCTCAGTGTGTGCTGTATTTGTGGGCCTTGAAAATTCTTTACCCCAAAACACTGTTTTTACTTCGTGGAAATCATGAATGTAGACATCTAACAGAGTATTTCACATTTAAACAAGAATGTAAGTATACGTCAAGCTCCTTCCTTTAACACTATATGTGCTAAACAGTAATTTTAATCAATACTAATATACATACAATATAATCCATTGCCTAAAAGGCAAAAACTTAAAGTGACACTCTTTTGTATCGTCCTATATTTCTTTCTAAGCAAGGACATTTATGAGAATCCAGAATTTGTTTGTAAACTAGAACTTCTCTATAAAGTGGTTGAAGAATTCTAATTAAGATTTGTATAATTTATCCTAAGAAACAAGTGATTTAGGGATACTACTGTTCAGAACAATAATTCTATCTATTAATCTCACATTACTCAAGAAACGCAAATGGAAGGCAAATTCAACCCTATTCCTCTGTTTTGGACCCAATAAATGCTAGCTTCTAGTGAGTCTTATAAAATTGAAGATGACATCATTCTTTAGACATAGACACTAGGAGTGTGGAGTACTTTTAAAAAATTTTTTTCCTCCTTACAATTTTCTTTATTGTTCACTGAATCTTACATAGGTATATAAAACATTACATTTTCGTTTCATATATAAATACAGTTAAATGGAAGGCCAGAGAATCTCTCTATACATATCGGTATTTTTCTTTTTCATTTAGTCCTTTATTCAATGGAGCATAAAGACTTCTCCTCTTAAAACATTAGATATAAGTCATGGGAAAAACAATGTGCAATGAGATAGAAACAACTTTAGAAAATGCCTTGCCATCTGCTTTACTACAAAATTATTAGGGGATATCAAGCAGCTTTATGGCTGTTTTTCTGTTGATCTTCCAGTTGTTCATGCACATTTTTATGGTGAGACATCTGCAGATAAATAGCCAGAATGTATATACAAATTCTCTTGCTATACAAAAAGTTATGAAAATTATAAAATATGAATGAATGACAAAAACAGGAAACAGTAGATTAATATGTTAGTTTCAAAAAAATCTTAATTATGTTTTAGAATTTTGCAGTGTGTTCTTTTGTGTTAATAATATGGTCCTAACAATAAAACTTCTCAAAAAAACCAAAACTATTTCAATGAAATGATCCTGCGTATATATCATGAGTATTTTTTGTATCACTTCTAAAAGGTAAAATAAAGTATTCAGAACGCGTATATGACGCCTGTATGGATGCCTTTGACTGCCTTCCCCTGGCTGCCCTGATGAACCAGCAGTTCCTGTGTGTACACGGTGGCTTGTCTCCAGAGATTAACACTTTAGATGATATCAGAAAAGTAAGTTTCGTTATTTTTCATGTTTAATTATTTCGTGTGCTACTATAATAAATAGAAGACATTAATTACCCTACCTTTGTCACTAACTTTATCCTTTTGAGTTAAAATGATTTAAAGTGGTCACAAATCTCTTCTTTGTGTTAAATTTTTATCAAGAAAGGAAGATATGTTTGTAATTGGAAGAGTTTTTATCTCTACAACTTCAGGTTTGGTCTTACTGTCTGACATGTGTCTTTGGAAATATAAAATATTTGACCTCTAAAAAAATATGCCTTATCATTTCCATTTGGCTTTTTTTAAACAATCCATTGTATATTCTTGATGTATTATGCTAGAAATGTTGCTTTGCCCTTGGGAAAATATCATAACATGACCATTAAACTGTGTTCATTTTCTGGTGTTTTTAAAATCTACTATTTGTTACAACTTAAAACTTTTAAGTAGCAATCTAACAAGGACAATGATAATATTCTATCAATTTTATTGAATGGCTAGGTGGAAAACAATGAACTTTATAAGAAGTATTTTGAAGAAGTTTTTAAGAATTACTATAGTTTAGCATTGACTATTAACAGTTGTTTAAACCAGCAAAAAGATGAGTTACATTGAATGTGGAAGTGGATTGTGTCTTTTTCTTGAGTAAATCTAATAACATGGGATAGTTTTATGTAGTACAGTAGACAATCTTTTATTTCTTTGGTTGTGTTTCTAACTCTGATGATTGCAATGATGTAAGGGAAAAAAATAGAGAGTAATGAAAAATCTCAGTGTATATTTCTTGGTGCCAAAATTGCCAAAGAGAGAAAGCAATGTAAATGTTTTCTTAGGTCATTTTAAAATAATATTACTTGGAGTTATTTTAAAGTATGATAATTTATTCACATCAATATTTATAATATATGTTATTGAAAAGTTGTTCTTGTCACCAGGCTTTCTATCTAGGAAATCTAAGTCAGTTTTTTTCTGGAGGAATTATAATGGTTGAAAACTGTATTTATCTTCTTTCGTATACTTTTAGAGACCTAAGAAAATATGCTTGCACTTATCCCATAGAATAGAGATAAGGAAATAATTCTAGCCTTTTATTATTATCTTCACTAGTAATTCTGATAAGAATAAATTGGTCACATTGTTCTAAATTAATGTATTTGAACTATAAAGATTGGAATATTTGTTCTAAACATGCATACTAAGTATTTATTTAAGCCTAATGTCTTACAGGTAGACTTTGGCTTCAAATAAGTGATATTCTATAATCTCAAGGTGTACAGAGTTTATTTCTTAAGTATAGGTTCATTTAAGAGTAACCACGGACACAATTCAGATTCTTGATCTTACTTATCTTTAAGGGCATTCATACAAAGACTCCCTTGGTGTCACTTGTTTATTGATTGCCATTTAACTATTTTTTCCATTTCTTCAGAGTTTGGAAACTTGATTGCTAATTAAGTCTTAGAAGTCTATATGCCGAATAACATTTACAGCTGCCTTAAGTTAGTAAATTATTACAATATTTTCTCCTCGTGTTCAGTGGAGAAGGAAAGCAAATATTTTATCTATTCATGTATCCATGTATCATATTAACCTGATAACCACTACTTAAATAGTTTTGGAAAATGAAAAATGTCAAATTACAAGTAAGTGCAGTAGTTTTTGTTAGCAAATGTTGGGCATCAAAGACATGCATTTATGTTTTATTCTCTTGCCTTGATCAAATTTCATGACCTCGGATAGAAGATGAGAAACTTACTGAGTGTCCTCCTTAAAAGGGGTATTAGTGAAAACTTTGCTCAAAACAGTGTTTTCATTATTTGAACAGAACTGATATTCTGAATAGAGTTCTATACTGTAGAGAATAAACAGAAAGGATAGGGCTATTGGAATATTTTGTTTAAGACACAATCACCAGCAAAAAGGCTGTAAACCTCTACTACAAAAAAAATAACCATTTTCCTATGACTCTCATTTATAGTGCTTCTTTAATATTTTTGTTCATGAAACTCATGGCTTTGAGAAAATACTTCAGTAAATTAGGAATGTGTTTACATACCATAAATGTCTACTACCATGAACTCAGTATTCTCTTAAAGTCATTAGCTTTTAGAGAAAAACTATGTTTAGGTAAAATAAAACATTCAAGTTCTTCTTAATACTCATTGAGGTTCAAGTGTTCAAGTATAAAAATAATGTATTTACTTTCCTATTGGAAAGAAAATGCATGCTTTTTATTTTAAAATTCATGCAAAAGCACAATAAATAAACTTTGTTGCTCTGTGTCTTTGTGTTCATTTTTGCAAGACATTATTTCACACTTATTTCTGGTGTCCTGTAGAGCATAGAGTATTGGTCTTTGTTCTATATTTAAAGTACATTAGAGATGTGATGCTAATTCAGTATAAAATTGTTTCTTTCTGGGCTGGGTGCATTGCCTTGGGTCTGTAGTCCCAGCTCTTTAGGAGGCCGAGGCAGGCGGATCAAGAGGTCAGGAATTCGAGACCAGCCTGACCAACATGGTGAAACCCCATCTCAACTAAAAATACAAAAATTAGCTGGGCATGGTGGTGCACTCCCGTAATCCCAGCTACTCAGAGACTGAGGCAGGAGAATCGCTTGAACCCGGGAGGTGGAGGTTGCAGTGAGCCGAGATCAAGCCACTGCACTCCATCCTGGGTGACAGAACAAGACTGTATCTCAAAAAAAAAGTGTTTCCTTCTGCATGAATGTAACCAGCTCATTCTTCTGTAATCTGGTGGACTTTTTTTGAAATAAATAAACTTCATATCATAAATTAAATAGATTTTTTAAAATATCACCTAACAACCTTAGGACTTACTTCTCAACATATTTTAGATGCTATATTCAATTTTCATACATATCATTAAGCTCTGCACATAACCAGAAAGTGATTTTTAGGTTTTCATTTTGCCATATATCAATTCAAGTGTTTTTGTATTTGTTTATTTTTACTGTCAGTGATACTTTAAAATATACTTTATACTTTTTCCAGAGTAAATGTTATATTCTGGCTGCTTTGCAGACCTTTAGTTGGGGATTCATATTAATCAAAAATTTTCCCCTCCTCTGCTGTCCTACCCTTAATAAGCTCTTATTTTTCAGAAAGAAGTTCTGTACTTTTAGGGACAAGTATTATTATTTTTTTAATGTATTGTTTCAAAAGTCTAAATTATTTAAATGTCTTCAACAAGTTTAAGTTTGCAATTAAATTTTATGGCTAACATAATGGTTGAAATATAGAGTTTTGTTTTACTGAAGTTTTTCTTTGGTTGTCGAAGATGTAAAATATTTCCTCATTCTCTGTAGACACTAATAAAAAGTAGTGTGCAGGAAAACCATTACTCAGAAAAAATAAAATGTATGTCCCAGGAAACAAAATAGACAATTTGATTAGTTGTCAGCCAAATATATTCACTTGTCTATATTGGATTTTTTAAATATAAATGTGAAGAATATCAATTATTAATAGGTTTTCATAGCTTTTGTATGCTTTTATTCAAGAGCCTTTATAATATCTGCTGATTCACCAAAGATCCTTCAGTTGTAGTTAAATCAGGATAAACTAAAGTGTTTAAAATTGATCATGATATGTTTTTTCCAGTGACTGTATTTTTCATATGCCTTCTAAATGCACCTTTTAAAATTGAAATATGACTTCACTAAACATTTATAGCTGGCAAATTGATTTCATATGAAGGTTTCAGGTAAAATGATAAGGCTTAGAAATGTGAACTTAAGAATGACCAGCTAAATTTGATTTTATTTTACTGCTTATCATTACTTATATTTGTGTCCACTACAGTCAACTACAGTAAGCTTGTACTTTATCATTAGAAACCTAGATAGCCCATAATGAAGGAATATCTAAAATATCATATAGCAAGTGGCTACTTTTAAAGTAAAAGCCACCTTTTCTCAAAATCATGTTCTTAAATATATATATATTTAAGAACATATTTAAATATATATATATTTAAGAACATGATTTTGAGAAAAGATGGCTTTTACTATACATATATATATATAACATAAGCATAAAAACTAGGAATTGTTGCCAGGCACGGTGGCTCAAGCCTGTAATCCCAGCACTTTGGGAGGCCAAGGCGGGTGGATCACGAGGTCAAGAGATCGAGACCATCCTGGTCAACATGGTGAAACCCCGTCTCTACTAAAAATACAAAAAATTAGCTGGGCATGGTGGTGCGTGCCTGTAATCCCAGCTACTCAGGAGGTTGAGGCAGGAGAATTGCCTGAACCCAGGAGGCGGAGGTTGCAGTGAGCCGAGATCGCGCCATTGCACTACAGCCTGGGTAACATGAGTGAAACTCCGTCTCAAAAAAAAAAAAAAAAAAGCTAGGAATTGTTTTCCATCCGGACTTCTAAATCATAGTTCAGTTGAGGAAGTAATAGGAATTTCCCCAACAAAAGTAAAAGTCTTTCCTCAATAAATGAAACAGAAGTAGCATCATAATAACTGGTAATGACAAAAACACTTGGATAGATTAAGTAAGGAGAGAGAAGGATGAAAGGTAGAATAGGAGAAAAGAGAAACTGCAAAATCTAGAGATAATAGAGACAGGAGGGAGGTAAAGTGTGAGATTAAGGTAGATACTAAATGATCTTATCAGAAGGAAGTGGGAAAGAAATTTGGAGAGAGAGAGGAAAGATATGAAAATGAGGAGGAAGAAGGACAGGAAGAGAGAGAGATAGAGGACATTTCACCCCGAAATGTAGCTGGGGAGAAGAGGACGCATTCTTCACAGTGCTTGTTTCTCTTATTGTCAGAATTCTAAGTTTCCAAAGATTAGTATTTCGCTCTCTGTCTTCTATTTTTCTTAGTTAGACCGATTCAAAGAACCACCTGCATATGGACCTATGTGTGATATCCTGTGGTCAGACCCCCTGGAAGATTTTGGAAATGAGAAGACTCAGGAACATTTCACTCACAACACAGTCAGGGGATGTTCGTACTTCTACAGGTGAGAATAGAGAGCTTGCTATCCTGAACAGGTTTTCTTCATAATGCCAGGATTTGTCAGTCCATGTGTTTGATTTATTTATAATGTTTGTATAACTTCTTTATTATAATGAAAGGCTCACTTTGAAAGTCTTATTCAAATGGATTCTTAGTATTTATAAAATGAAAATATAAATAAGTGAATAAATAAATGTCAAATATATATGTATACATATACAGATATACCTTGGAGATATGAGTTTGATTCTCACTGCAATAAAGCAAATATTGCAATAAAGCAAGTCATTATTTTTTTGGTTTTCCAATGCATGTAGAAATTATGTTTACCCTATACTGTAGTCTATTAAGTGTACAATAGCATTATATCTAAGAAAAAAACACACAGATGTATATACCTTAATCAGAAAATACTTCATTGCTAAAAAAAAATGCTCATCATCTGAGCCTTCAGCTAGTCATAATCTTTTTGCTAGTGAAGGGTATTGCCTTGATGCTAATGGTTACTGACTAATCAGGGTGGTGGTTACAAAAGGTTGGAGTGGTTGTGGCAATTTCTAAAACAAAGAGAGCAATGAAGTTTGTTGCATTAATTGACTCTTCCTTTCACAAAATATTTCTCTGTAGCATGTGATGGGTTTTGTAGCATTTTTCCCCACAGTAGAACTTCTTTGAAAATTGGATTTAGTCCTCTCAAACCCTGATCCTGCTTTATAAACTTGGTTGATGTAATATTCTAAGTCTTTCATTGTCATTTCAGCAATGTTCACAGCATCTTCACCAGGGGTAGATTCCATCTTAAGAAACACAAACAAAAAAAACAAACGTTTTCTTTGCTCATCTATACAAAGTACCTAACTCCTTACCCATTGAAGTTTTATTATGAGATTACAGCAATTCAGTCACAACTTCAGGCTTCTTTTTTTTTTTTTTTTTTTTTTTTTTGAGATAGAGTCTCACTCTATTGCCCAGGCTGGAATGCAGTGGCACAGTCTTGACTTACTGCATCCTCTTCCTCCCAGATTCAAGCAATTCTCATGCCTCAGCCTCGCAAATAGCTGGGATTACAGGTGCATGCCACCACACCCAGCTAATTTTTGTATTTTTTGTAGAGATGGGGTTTCACCATGTTGGCCAGACTGGTCTCGAACTCCTGACCTCAAGTGATCTGTCCGCCTCGACCTCCCAAGACGCTGAGATTACAGGCATGAGCCACCATGCCCGGCAGAAGCACCTGTTCTTATTCTAAGTCTGTTGCTATTTCTACTACATCTGCAGTTCCTTCCTGGTTTAGAGTCAGCCATGAGGTTTTGAGTCAATTTCATCCAAACTTCTGATAACTTTGAAATTACTCCTTTATCTGTGGTCTGTGGAATGGATGTTATGTTATTAGGCATGAAAATAACATTAATCTTCTTAGTACTCCTCCTTCAGAGCTCTTCAGTCACCAAGTGTGATATCAGTGAGCAATAATATCTTGAAAGGAAGCCTTTTGTTGGAGCAGTAGGACTTAAGAGTGAAGTTAAAATATTCAGTAAACCATGCTGTAAACAGATGTGTTTCATCAAGCCTTTTTCTTTTTTTTTTTTTTTTTTTTTGAGACATAGTCTCACTCGATTGCCCAGGCTGGAGTGCAGTGGCGTGATCTTGGCTCACTACAACCTCTGCCTCCCGGGTTCAAGTGATTCTCCTGCCAAAACTTCCTGAGTAGCTGGGATTACAGGTACTTGCCACCACACCCAGCTAATTTTTGTATTTTTAGTAGAGATGGAGTTTCAGCATGCTGGCCAGGCTGGTCTCAAATTCCTCACCCTCGTGATCCGCCCACCTCAGCCTCCCGAAGTACTGGGATTACAGGTGTGAGCCACTGTGCCTGGCCCATCCAAGCTTTATTGTTCCACTCATAGAGCACAGGCAGAGTAAAATTAGCATCATTTTTAAGAGCTCTTGAATTTTGAAAATGGTAAATGAACATTGGATTCAACTTAAAGTCACCAGCTGCATTAGCCCCTCGCGAGAGTCAGTCAGCCTTTCCTTTGAAGCCAGGCATTGATTTCTATTCTCTAGCTATGAAAGTCTTAGCTAGTATCTTCTTCCAGTAGAAGGCTTTTTGTCCATTGAAAAATCTGTTGTTCATTGTGGCTGCTTTCATCAGTTAGATTAAGCAAATCTTCTGGATAATATATTGCAGCTTCTACACCAGCACTCACTGCTTCACCTTGTGCTTGCTCCTCAAATCTCGTGAACCAAACAACCTCTGCTAGCCTCAAACATTTCTTCTGTAGCTTCCTTACCTCTTTTAGCCTTCAGAGAATGGAAGAGAGTAAAGGTCTTGCTTTGGATTAGACTTTGGCTGAATGGAGTGTTGTGGTTGATTTGATCTTCTTCTATTCAGACCATTAATACACTCTTTCCATATCAGCAATAAGATGGCTTCAATTATCATTTGTGGGTTCACTGGAGTAGTGCTTTTAATTTCCTTCAAGAACGTTTCCTTTGCATTCACAGCTTTGCCAACTGTTGGCGCAAGAGCCCCAGCTTTCGGCCTGTCTCAGCTCTCATTATGCCTTCCTTACTAAGCTTAATCATTTCTAGCTTTTGATATAAGGTGAGACATGTACAACTTTCCTTTTTACTTGAGTATTTAGAGGCTATTGTAGGGTTATTAATTGGCTTAATTTCAGTATTGCTGTCTTATACAGAATAAGGGCACCTGAGGAAATGGAGGGAAATAGGGGATTGGCCAGATGGTAGAGCAGTCAGAACACAATGAACATTTATCAGTTAAGCTTGCCATCTTATGTGGGAGTGGTTGGCAGCACCCAAATAATTATAATAGTAACATCAGAGATCATGATAACAGATATAATAATGATGAAAAAGTTTTTAATATTGTAAGGATTACCAAGATGTGACACAGGTGTGACGTGAGCAGATGCTTTTGGAAAAATGGTGTTAATATACTGACTTGCTCAATGTAGGTTTGCCGCAAACCCTCATTTTTTTAAAAAACAGAATATCTCCAAAACAAAAAGCAAAGTGAAATAAAATGAGATATTCCTGTATATAAAATTTCTGCGAAGAATAGAAAAGACAGAAAAGATTTACATGTGATGTGAGGGTGAAGAGTCTACTGAAGAAGATGGTAGGGTTTACTAGAAAATGTATTCTGCTTCAAAAACTGTACCCAAAAAATCCAACACCAACCTTGATTTTTTTAATTCAATTATATAATCACATTTTAACGTTTTACCAGTTTTCATAACTTGAATTTAAAAAACAACTTTTCATTGGCTAAATGAATCATATTTAAGTCATTCTTACATTTTTTTAAGTTTATCAGGCTTCCTGTATAAATTAAAATGAATAGCTTTACAGTATATACGAACCATAGTATATTTATTTTTAGGACTTTGATAAGCCAAGTTGAAAATATTTTTATAACAATTTTTACATTTACAGATCGCTAGGGATTTACCCATTCCTTGACACTTCAGAACGCTTCAGAAAGGCATCTACAGCACAGTTAGGTTTCTGCATGATTTCACCGTTTTCCTCTTGTGTCACCTCAGTTTTATCTTCCCGCAGCTCATCATCCTCAGTTTCACTAAAGTCTCTTACCATTATACATGCAGCTTATGTGAACATTGCCAGAGTAAAAGAGAAAAGAGGTTATGAAGAAGTCAAAAATTTTAAATTTTAGAATACTTCTTCAAATTCCAGAATACTTCCTCCTCTCCTCGTTTTCCCTCCTCCTCCTCTTCTTCTTATTATTATTATTATTAAACACAAAAACCTAACCTGATGTTCCCTGAAGTTAATGGCCAATTCCAGCCTGGCAGCTAAGCTAATGGCAAGGCTGGAAGAATTCTGTAAAACACATCAAGCTATGTATCTTCTGTCTCTAGAGTAAGCATATATCCTTTTGTAAAACATTGATCAGATGTCTATTTAGTAGTAGGACATCTTGTTCAATATACTAAGTTTTTCTTATGTGAGAAAAAAGTTTTTTTTATCTGTTGATGTGATTGAGAAATTAAAGTCGATGAATAGAAAATCTTGTGCATTATAAAGCATCATTCAAAGTATAGTTTTCTTTATATGAATATTAACACATTCTAAGCATGTTTATTTGAAAAATTTATAGTTCACTTCTATGTTTTGGAAATTTGGTTTGATGAATGTGTTTTGGCTGAAGTAAAGAAGCATGGCATCTGAAAAGCCTAAAATTTCTTTTCAGTAATTAATTTGAGAGTAATTTTTTATAAAATATATTTAAACTTAATAGTGAAAAGTTGGTATTGTTAAAGTATATCAAAGTCATGTGTTCAGTTTTCCAAAGCTAGTGTTAACTTTCTAGTTATACCTTGGATGTTTAAATTACCTGTTTGACATCACTGAGTTGTACTTCAGTAGCATAATATGAAACAAAATTCAAACTCTTGATTTTGATATTGAGTTCTGTTGCATTAATAATAGAATAGCATTCTACTAGTTTTCTGTGTCCGCTGTTCAAATTATATTCTAAGCAGAGTCCCATACTGAACTTATATAATATTATGGCTTTTTTATTTTATAAATATATAGACACGGATGGGTTTATGTCAGGAATAAAGTCTACCATCTTTAATAATAGAGGATAATTAGAAAATTAAACATTTTCTCTTTTGTTTTCAACATTATCATTATTTCACTTGTCTCATTAAACATTCTTAGTAAATAATGATTTTTAGCCATGGCAAGTACAGATTATGTGAATATCTAATAGCTGAATATCTAAATCTGTGGCCTGTATACAGACTGACAAATGACAAAGCAGCCTGGATTATGTTTTATCTAAGGAGGAGAAAAATGTCTCTGATTCTCCTACAGCTTTTTGATCCTTTTGACTTTAGTGCCATCTTGAAAGTTTGAAGGTGTTCTCTGGGATTGTGGTTTGTAAAGTAGATCTAGATGGGCACAAGCAAGCCATGAAACTGGGAGAGAAAATTAGTGGCAATTACC